TCGCTGCTAGCGCGCATCGCCCGATTGTCCCAAATAGTCCAATTCGGCGACCGACCACGAACCGTCGCCCCTTCATCGCTACCAACAACAAAAATGTCTATCTAAGCGCTAAAATCCATTTGCGGCCGCGCGCTAGATTACAAAGTCGTCGCCCATATCTTCAGCGATCTGGGAAAGATTGACGCGACAGCCAGTGTCCTCCTCAGCGGCACGCACCTTTTCGACAAAGGTACATGCATTAACGTAATGCTTTCCAGCCTGAGAGCATTCCTTGATAAGCTGCAGCCCCCAGTCTCTGTAGATAGGGTCCTTCGCCTCGATCGCTGCCATGATGAGTGGGATGGGCCATATCTTGGTCGGCGGCGCTTCCGTCCTCGGCCGCTTCAGCTTGGAGTAAAAGCGACGAGTAATGCCAATTATATACTCGGCATGCGCGGTTTCTGTATAAAGTGACTCAGCCTCTCGATATGTCCTCGAGGCGTAGATGTGTACTGCGTGAAAGAGGGCGTTTGCAGTGAGAAAGATGGATAGCACTTTGTTTTCTGTCGCTTTCTCTTCGCTGATACTAGAGAGGCCCTACTTGATTGTCAGCGGTCGAATTACAAAGCCCTAGGGTCAATGTAATCGCTAGCTTACCTCCTTGATATTGTTTAATGATGCCGCCGTGCTTGCTTCTTGACTCCCTCCCACTGTGGTGCGGTCGTCTCTAGATATCATCCCCATGAGAGCGACTAAGCGACAAGTAGCCACATACAAAGGTCTATGAGCTTCGTCCCATCGTCTCTCCTCATTCGGGTACAGCAGAGTGTATTCTTGCTGCAGAAAATTGTACGACTTGTCCACAGCAAACATTAATCCCAGGTCGTTGCCCAGACACTGTATGATGCGATCATCGCCTTGCGAAAAGAGAGATGCGCGAGCATCGAGAAAGCAGAACCACACAGCCATCCTGCCGTAGACTGACTGCGATTGATCGCCATGGCCTCGGGTCTCCAGAAGGCAAGCTTCAAGGCCTAGCATACGCTTCAACGAGGCCCTTCGTGAAAGCAGCAGGTCGGTCCAGGCAAGGAAATAAAGCATCACTGAGACGGCATCCAGGTCGTCGTCTCGTGTGATGCACTGAGGCCAAGTCTGGCCAAGTTCTTGATCCATGCCCCCAATCGCAAGGTGGATGCCCAATTGATCCCCAAGAGCTGCCAGACTCTTTTCGTAGTGTTCTAGGGCGCTACTCTCTGAGGCTAAAGTCCCGTTACAGTGCAGGTGAGCAGCTGTCCACGCGTAAAGAGCCGATATCACAAACGAATGGCTTGAGTTGAAGCGATTGAAGAAATACGTGTGATTGTTCCAAGTTTGGCCCTTGGAGCTGTACTTGGATGCCAGATTTTGCGTATAATGCTGCGCCAGGACCCGATCGGAGACTGTCTGAGGGGAACTCGAGGACAGGCTGCCCGCGTTAAAGTCAGTGGATATTTGACCAGGCGAGTCCGTCTGCGGCAGCCAAAGTTGCGCGGTACTATTGTAAATTATTGTAGACTCCGGGCTCAAGTCCCACTGCTGGTCGGGATATGAGTCAAATACCCCATCCATCCAAGGCATCGCGATCGCATCGAGCATTGCAAGTGATGATGGTTCGAATGAGTCCGACGCATCTGTATCGACAGCTGAAAAGGCAGTCTGGGTCTGAGGGCTCATCTCGACATAGGGTGGTTGCCCACGAGTGGTCTTCTTCCTCCTGCGACGCCTAGTATGAGTCCTGATCTGCTCTGTCTCATCTCTAAACTCGAAAACAGCATGAGGTGACGGTTCATAAGCACATTTGAGGTGAGAGCGTCGACAGGGTGAGCAGCGCGGCTTAAGTTGATCACAAGATAGTTTCCTTCTTGCGCAGGTGGTGCATAGAGACATCGTGAGTCGTTGTGAAGGGCTGTTTGCTTAGATGAGGGGTGATTGAAGTGTAGAAGCGCTTTCGTCTTGGAGGGAGTTTATCTTAAGTCTGGGGTAACTAATGACTAATCGGTGATAAGCCTGCCCAGAAACGCGCTAAGTACTAGCTCATCACCAGCCCGAAACGGTCTTCTCCATTTCACTAATACAATCGTACACTATTCCTGTCTATAGATCTATAATCCTATTTGCCAGTGTGTTGCCGAGGCCACAATTAAGTCATCAGCATGCCGAGAATGGAACAGTTGGGTATTTATTCAGAGTCAATGCTGTGACTGTGTGAGTAAACGAAATTTGACAACTATTCCTGGCCAACTTCGACGAAGTATCATAGATAGATCGACAACTTTAACGGCAAGCGAACGAGCTAGCCGGGGTTCGAACTGTCTCAAGCAATCACACCAATATCCATCGCTTCACGCCTTTTCACCAAGGCTCACCAAATATATCTAAACGAGTCTTGCTGCCAATCCGTAAGATCTAAGTCATCCCCAGAAATGTTTACGTTATGGATTTCTTGAACTTGGCGACGATCCCGACGATGGTTCTGGTACTTGATGTAGATGCTACGAGGAACTGATTAGTTTTCTGGACAAAGTGGAATCATAAGTTTTCTTACAGCAGAACGATTTCTAAGACAATCATGGCAGCGACTGAGGAGTAAAAGCCTTTGAAAGCAGTCTGGAACCGTGGTGCCTCGTGCGTGATGAAGAATTGGGGGCCTGTGAATTGGCCAAGACAGTAGCCCAGGAACATCATGACCTATAAATGTTATAAAAACAAGTCAACTCAAGATCGGCATAGTCAAACACTCACGCTCGCCGTGGACTTCTTGGTAAACCCTGCGATGTTAGAGGAGATCATACTCATGCCAAGTCCGAAAGGGACGGTATTGACATAAATGACTGGAGGCAAGTATGAGCAAAAGTTCTGAGCTACAAGATGACATTCTATACTCACTATAAAAAGATGCAAGTCGGCCTTGCTGGTTAGATTGTGAAAGGTCTAAGTCAAGTCAGATACTAAAAGCAGATCCCAACGATGGTAGTGGAGACTCACTATCCACCAACACGGCTCCTATCAAGACAATAATGTTCGTTGCGATCATGACGTAACACCTGGTGTTCTTAAAACGAGTGCAAAACCAACCACTGGAGCACAATAAGTCAGTAACGGGGTATGGGGCTAAAAAGTTGGATACTCACGCAAAGACTACTGAAACAAGGTGGATGGCGTTGGACGGCATGGCCATCAACGTGGCGTGGCGACTCGTGTAGCCAAGGGTCTGAGTCAACACAATCTTTGAAAACTGCTCTGTCATCAGAATATGATGCAACTACAGATGCAATCCAAGGCTCCTCACCGATGTTAGTCCGCCTCCTTGTAGGCATTGCAGAAAGGCGTGTATTGCTAAGATCCACGGCTGAGGATCCCTGAGGCATTCCCAGACCTGGTTCCATTTGTATTCGGTGTTTTTGATACCAGTATGGTTCTTAAGGGCCTATGATCTGGTTAGTACCTCCATTGGCGTTGGTTAGAAGGGGATTTACTCTATCAGTAGCGATATTGCGCTCTCTCTTGCTGAAGAACCATGCATTCGAAGGCGACGCCGGAACTCCAAGAAAGACAACAACACCCCAGAACATGGTCATCGGCCCGAAGACAAGGTACACGACTTGCCAGACGGCATACTTGGAGCCTGAATGATCGCTACCCGAGAGTCCGTATGTTATCGCATCGGCCACGAAAGATCCGATAGCACTGGCGGACCACCATAGTGACGTGCGAAGAGGCTGTTCCTCACGTGTCCAGTACTGGGATATGAGGATCGTGAGAATGGGCAACATGCATGATTCGAAAACACCGAGGAAGACGCGGTTGACGCAGAGTGTCGCAAAGTCTTTTGTGAACGGCGTTGTGCAGGCGGTGAGACCCCAGAGAAAGATCAGCACACCGAAGTATCGTCCACTATACCGTGGTCAGAAAGTATTATACGGTACAAGGCGATCTTAGAGAGTGAACGCAAGAAACCATCCCTAATCTGAATGGCTTTCTGAGAAGGCGAGACTTACATGGGAAGTTTCTGCATCAAGAGAGAGCTGGGATATTGCCAAACCAGGTAACCCAGGTAGAATATTGACGATGACCAACTATACTGCTGCCCCACGAGGTTCTGTGTGGATGTCAGTTGTCATAGAAATATTTCCAAGGTATTCCCTTACCAGATCTTCCTTGATGCCAAAGATGGAAGCCTCGGATAAAGCGACTTTATCCATATAGTTGAGGACGTATGTGCACACCATCTATTTTTGCTGAGGTTAGTTCTCGCATTCTCCAGCTTCCGCAAAAGACCACTTACCATTGGCAGCAGGATCAGGTCGAGCTTCCATCGGACCTTCGCATCTTCCTTGGAGCTATATACAAGCCCAAGAGGGGCAGACCCCAGTTCCTCCGAGCGCTTCTCATCATCATCCACGGTAGCACTGAGTTTGCGACCTGCAGCTGTATCTTCAACCAACTCACCCATCCCGACGGTGGAGTTGGTCGGCATGGTGGTAACGGGCTTGAGGTCTTTATCCATTGTATTATGCCGTGAATACACAGTCAGAGTGACACTTTACTAAGTGGAGGGTGTTGATTGTTTGCGATTCGCTGCCATTTATATCGCATGGTCATGTTTGTAATGATACTAGTTAAAGAACCAAGGAGGTTCAATTTGGCGGGGATGATAGCGCTCGCTGAAATGGCTCAGAAAGGTTTAGCTCACTCTAGGGTCGCCCATTTGACCGTTTTGGGCCGAGTGCGCGAGATGGTAAGATAGCGTTTCTGGGGCATCCGGGGAAGCCTGTTCTCGGCTTTTGTAATTGTTAATTTTATTGTTACACTTAAGTCACGAACGATTGTCGGGAATTGAGAAACTGGAAAATACGTCTTATCGTTATGTATCTTCACTTGGTTATATACAGAAAAACACATATCGCTAATTTCTCCCCGCTACATCTGAGCCACGACGTATTCATAAATATCGTTTCACCATTATACATTCTTCATCTTCTTCAATAGTGACTTGGCTTGAAGCCTCCCTTGGGGAAAGGCACAATATTCTCTTCAGAAGTATGCTTCACCTTACCCATCGAGATGGAGAACTTCTGCTGGTCAAAGATGCTGTACACGTTGCGCAGGAAAGGGTCACCAAAGATAGACACGGGGTACCCTCGAGAAGCGGCGAATACTCCACAAGTGCCACCGGGAAACTTCGACACCACGCCGTGGAGCGGAACCTTGATCGTGCCGTGAACGCCAAACTCAACAGCAATGTACCCGTCGTTGCGCTTGGAGTCAGCGTACTTGCAGTCAACCACGAAGTATTGCTGGCCAAAAGGCTGTTCCTTGGCACCAAAAGCGCGGAGAATAGGAGGCATAGTCTTGTCCGTGAGGTACCAGCTCGCAACACCAGTATCAAGCAACACGGGAAGACCGACATTCTTCTTTCCGTATGTTTCTTTTGTGCGGTTGTTACCCTTGGTGAGGAATACCTCGACTGAAGTGACGTTGACCGAGTTGGTCTGGCCACCGGTGAGTTCATTACTGAAAGGATCGACCATAGGCACAGTGATGAGATCACCGTCAATCTTGGCTTTGTCATACGCTCCGCCAAGGAGCATCCTGGCATTGGCAGCCTTCTTGTCGTCGGGTCCGAGGTAGATGCTCGACGCAAGGTAGTTGACCTTAGAGGCGTTCTTCAACTCCGGCAGCATATACGAGGAGAACCTATCAGTGCACTTGGGCCCGGCATAACCGCACTCCAACGATAAACCTGGTTCGCAGCTTGTCAGCTCAGCATCTACCACGTAGGATAGTGTTTTCTTACCGAGAATTGTGTAGATGTCACCGCTGAGCTTGTCGGGGAAACTATAATCGGATGTGATGCCAAAGTACATGTTCTTAGTAGAAATACCACCGATAACAACTGTGTCAGTGAGATAATCGCCCTGACCAACGTAGCCCAGCGCGTCAGCGAAGCCTGAACCTGCGTAGCGGGATGTTCTACAGCGGTGGTTAGCGACGGAATCTACGAGTACGGGGAAACATACTTGGATGTTTTGTTGTTGAAAGTGCCAAAGGTTTTGCAGTTATTTCCCTGCTTTTTGCAGACTTCATTGCGGGGGTCAAGGAAAGAATATCGCGGGCTGCCGGTGTCGATCTTGAGATACTCAGTCTGCGGCGGTGTGCCAACCTGCAGCTTGGCATAGTACGCCGTCAGGCCCTCATCGCGAGATAACGGGACGGAGATGACACCGGCGGGAGTCTTGCCCGCAGCAGCGACGCCAGAAAATGATACAGCAGCAGCAGCGACGGTGGCCAAAGTGAAGAGAGCCATGACTGTAGCTTACTTGCGCTGTCGATGTGCAACCGACTTGCCTGATCATTATCAGACTATATATAAACAGACTAACCCGCCCACTATAAGGTGTAGCCCCTGTCCATGTGAAGTCATGAGGTCCGACGTTCGTCGATACGAGGTTCTTAGCGGGTCGCATTCCTGATCTGCCGAGCCCGCCGTGTTTCCATTGGCGGTAGGAATATTTGCTAGCCGGTTTTGGGAAATTGACTCGTATGCGGAGCCCGGCATTTTATCCATCCTGGCCGGATAATCAAAGCGCGAACTATCTATGTAACAGTGGAACGAGCGGGAACGAGGTCGTGCTCTTGGCCATAAAACGAGGAAGAAAGAATGCCTGTTTCTACGATACGTAGTCATACTACACGACACGACTGTTCTCATCATGTCTCTTAAAGTCCTGCAACTGATTGCAGCATTGGCTGCTTCTGCCCATGGCATTGCAGTACCGGATAGCCAGGGCGCTGCTTTCAGCCTCGATGCTTTCGCACCAGCTACACCAGAGGAATTCGATCCTGTGGCTGAGCGTCAGAGGCTTGAGGCCAAGTTCCCCACGACGCATGCCAGCAACATTCAAGTGCGTACCGTGAAGCAGTCGGGCTCCGCGAAAGTGAAGCCTGTCTCTGGCGGCATGTCATTCTTCGTCCTTACAGTCATTGGAAACCAGACGTTCAAGATGCTCTACGACACTGGCTCTGCCGATTTGTGAGTACGTCCCTGCTTCTTCAGCATCGTGGACCGAGACTGACGCCTCACTGATCAGATGGGTATATTCCAACGAGTCTTCCCCCTTCCAGAGTGAGGATCACCCAACCTATGCCCCGACTTCATCCGCAACGCTTCTCAAGGGCTACAACTTCACCCTCAAGTACGCCTTTGGCGATGTGATCAGCGGCGAAGTCTTCACCGACACCGTCAAGGCAGGGCCCGTCGTAGCCCACAAGCAGGCCGTCGAATCCGCCCTCATCATCCAGCCAGAAGTCTCCTACGACGGCATTCTTGGTCTCGCATTTAGTACCATCAACCAAGTTGTGCCCAAGAAGCAAAAGACCTTGTTCGAAACTCTCCTTCCCACTCTGAAGAAGAAAGTCTTTGCTGCGAATCTGCGGTTGGATGGCAAGCCTGCGACATGGGACTTTGGGTACATCGACGATACCAAGTTCAAGGGCAAAGTCGCCTATACCCCCGTTGTCAGCACCAAGTACTGGTCGATGAACGTAAGCTCTTATGCTGTGGGCAAGGGTTCATTCACCAGCAAAAAGAAAGTTGGCGAGGTCATCGTCGACTCGGGCACGTACCTAGTCTATCTCCCTGAAGCTGTGGTGAACGACTACTACAGCCACATCAAGGGCTATAAGCTTACAAGCGGAGGGTCTCGCACTTACCCGTGCAATAGCACTGTGCCCGACTTCCACTTCAAGATCGACAGCACAACGCTTACTATCCCCGGACGAGATGTCAACTATACTGTATATGACCCTAACATTCGACTTTGCACTGGTGCCATCACGTCTCAGCTTAACAACAAATACTCTGTGCTAGGAAACTTGTTTATGAAAAACTACTATGTTGTTCATAGCTGGGAGGAGGCTATCCCGAAGCTTGGATTTGCGCCGCATTGATCGTTATTCGCCCTTATCTGCGATGTTCCATGAATTCCTTCACCAAGTTGATTGAGCTCTAAATATTGTCACATAGAATTGGACCCCTCCATTGGTTACCTTCAAGCCCCTCTTGATGACAATCACTAGATCTGTACATCATGTAAGGATTCCGTCACCAGACTTTTACACAATTATGGTATAAGCTTTAAACAATAATCTTACTTTCCATCATTTTTGCGTTCATGCCACCAACTTCCGTCATCCCGAATACTTATCAGATTCTAATAGCCGAGTGGTTCTTGTATCATTCTAAGGTTCCATTGCCTGGTTTCTCATCTTCTACTACAACGCCTTACTCGTCACTGTCGCTCTCATCATCATACAACTCCTCCTCCACCTCATGCAACCTCAAGTTGTAGCTACTCTCTTCTTCATCTCCTAGTACTACCCCTGCAGCCAGTAGTCCATGCCGATAGTCACTTGTCGGTGATTCATACATTTCTTTCAGCACTTCCAGCATTTTCTCAGTATAGTATCCTCCTATAAAATCTGCCACCGTCTCATTCCGACATTGGAACTCCCTTTCAAAATCTTCATCAAGATCATTAAGCCTTTCCAGCAAAAGCCTGTCCTCGTCCAATAATTCCACCCATTCATCCTCTTCAGTCGGTTCTTTCGTTTCCCATAAAAAGCTGTTCCAAGGACAGGGCCCAATGTGTCTGATGTCCAGGAGCTTCATTGTCATTGTGTGGATAGCGCATCTGGCTAGATATGCCTTGTCAACACTACTTACTAATTTTTCGATCCAACCAGCAAAATAGCGCATGCTGCTAGTGGTGTCGAGAATCCCAAAATGGTTGTTGGCCACACTATTTCCAAATCCAGAGATTAAAGAGGCCAAAGGTCTGTTATAAGCACCCGATACACAAGGGCATGGTAAGTTGGATTGCATTTCGCTATTGCAGACCTTGGTGATCAGTGCTTTCCCAGACTCATCGTCGGTCGGAACCTCCCTAGGAAAGAAATAATGGTGATACCTACCCACGAACCCTCCTAAATCATGAAATACCGATGTCTGGAAGCCACTAGCCAAATACTCCAGCTTAAGATCGTGCTTCAACAGCCAATCCAGAAATGGCAAAGGTATATCAGAATGAATATACATATTAGAATCAAAAACTCCTCGAACACGCGCAAGCAATGGCGGGAGACCACCCTCATCCAAAGGTTGGAACCCAAACTCATTGGCAAGCGAACATATTTTTAGAGGAAGAGGCTTTTCAAATAGGCCTCCCGAGTATCGGCCTGAACGAAAGGGCTTGAGTCCAGGACTAATATCGAATCCCTCACTTGTTAATTTACGAGAGAATGTCCGTAGTTCTTCCCAAAGTAACCGTGCTGCAGCATCAGGAAGAGAACTAACAACAAGCCCATATCGGTCGGTGATTTCTGAAGGTAGCCATGCAAGAGAAAGGTCTCGTAGTCGTCGCCGCCGATTCTCTAAATGCTTGAAAAGCAGTTTTCGGCATCTTAGTGAACAGTCTTCCAGCAATTCAGGCGACATCAAATGAATCGGTAGTGAGCAATCAGCTTCTAGGAGCACTTGGGCAGAAGTAGCACAATGACAGTTCTGGCAAAGCACCCACTGGTCTGGTTCGGTACATACTCTCTGACTTTCATGTATCGCAAGCCGAAGAGGACTTATCATCACTGAATCGTTGTCGCAAAGTAAAGATACAGCCTGTTTGTGTTGTAGAAGTAGGGCGAGTCCTTCTGGCCAAGTCATGCTGGCGTGCAGTATGTTACGGCCATACATATCTGTTTCTAAAATTCCTTGGGGAAGTTGGCCGTCCACTGGAACAGCCTCGAGCTTTTGGCGGTCTTGTTGCATGACTGCACAGAATATATCATTAAATCCAAAGGCTAGAACATAGACATTAGCTGACCTTAGTTCTGCAGAGACATAGACAAGAGATGGTAACCTTCAGCGATCTCTGGGTACTCGCCCCAAGTTTCCAATGTCTCAGAAATCGAGGATACAGTGGCGACATTAGACCACCTGTCGGTGTAGGCAACACTTTCAACGTAGAGTGACTTATCGAGGGCAGTGATGAATTTGTACAGTCGAGGAAGTTTCGCTACCGTAGAAAAGGCACAGAAGCTTTGAAGTATTGTTCTAATTCACATAAGTCAGTACAAATAGAAACAAGACTTTGGATTTCTCACCTGTTGTAATTATTGCTGGCTGTGATTGGAACGCCAGCGTGAAACATATATGATAGAAGCAAGCAAAACGATTCGAATACGTCCTCGAGACTCGGTTCATCTTCTGAAGGTTGACGCCACAATAGAGTCCCATAAAACTCAAGAGTCCGTTAGAATTGGAGTGTGCCGTGCTTGCAAAACTAGAACATGAACTCACATATAGGCATATATGGGCTATGTTACTTCCAGAGTCATCTACGTCAAACGGTGACGCTAAGCCTGATCGATAAATAGTTCTCAGTTTCTGTATCAAGGTAGATGTCTCTCTCCATAGGTCAAATTCACGGTTTTCTGGCCTTGCGGGCCTAAAAGGCGACGGATGCCCATTCCTATCGTAGTAATTCCTGACGCGTACATCAGTAGTCTGTACCACGATAAAAGCATAAAAACGATGGAAAACTCACGAATATTCAAAGTACCTCTTGTTGAGGTCATCAACAGCTTCAAATGCCGGACTCGATTGAACAATGTTGCACGGCTGTATCCCAAAGGAAAGACTATATGCCCCGGCGGGATAGTCTCGAGTTACTGACAGGGACAAGCTTCGAGAAAACCAATATCGAAGACCGAGATACGTAAACGTAGTCTTTGACGTTTGTGGTGATTGGTTAAAGAAAATGCAACCAGAACGGTGGCGTTGTCGTTTATGCTCTTGTTTCGAGATTACCAAGCCTCCCCATGACTGATTGACATATGATGATTTTCGATGAATGGAACTAGGCGCAAGGTCGGAACAAGTGCATCTTGGATTGATCAGTCTTTCCAACTCTGATGCTTCATCCTGGTAATTTTGCAGATATCTCGGTTTGGCTGCGACATCTGAGACATAGTTGCGGGAAGCCAGACAGTTCTCTTGGATCCGGTGCGATATTGTTGTCACTTCCGTATCCGTGCGTTGTACAACTGACCCAATGTTTTCAAGCTGTCTGGAAATTGTGTGCAATGTGTTGTGCGTAAAGTTATCGTTAGTATTCATACTGCTTTTTAAAATCTGCAGGTCTTCGCTGATGCCAATGTTGATATCACTGGAAAAAATCAGCAAGAGGCGAACCGTCATTATACTGAGAATTTCTTACAGATTGAAGTTTTGAACAAAAGCACTCAGTGTCATATTTGCCTTGGATAGCTGATCTTGAAGCTGAAACAACCGCTTCTGATCAAACGGATATCGAGCTACCATCATTTGCTTTCTCCATTTTCCCTTCGTATCAGTCAGGCTCTCGTCTCGGGTAAGGTCCAACATCATCTGCTGCAGGGCCATGAGCTGCGACTCGCAATTAGCCAGACCTTGATTGACTCCATTGGCGGATAAGGCGTGACGCTGACCGAGCTTCAGTGTGCTCGTCTGGATGATGAAGATATTTGACTGCAAAAGTGTAAGGCTTTGGCTGGCTGTCTCGATGTCTCGGTGTCGATCTTTCACGGCGCTGAAATAATTGTGAAGGCCGCTGCAAATAGTTAGGCCAAGGGATACAAGGCCAGCGACGCCGCTTGCGATGGATAATGGATCAGCCATGATAAGATTGGGGATGTTGTAGAAGTGAGAAACAAGCGGGTGAAACGAAGCGGGGAAAGTGAGCGCTGACTTTCTGCTTACTGCAAGTCGCATAAGGCAGACAAGGCAGACAGACACTCATATCAGGCGATCAATCAAAAGGCATGGGTAAATCACGTCCCCTGTACCAACTAAACCTCGAGGAGATTGAGGGCATGCATTTGAACCTGCTACTGGAAATCATGTTGCCAGGTGTAGAAGATCGAGCATACAAACGGCAATTTTGTATGTCTCATTTTATTAAGTTTGGTAAATTAAACGGGCAGAGCGTTCATCTGATGAGGGAAGGGAATGAGCGAGTTTTGAATGAGGCTGCAACAGGCCTTGAAGTTAGGAAGGGCGCGTGAGGTTTGTGTAACCAGCCGACACTAAGTGGCAACACTGATACGTCACTAACTACACCGAGGAGTGTACCAAAAGAAATACAGGACCAAGGTGTTGGCCCAGAAATTAGATCATCACTTGATATACTAAATGAATCTGAATATGTTATTGGTGGTTTACCTGTTTGGTAGCACTCTTGGTTCTTTGAGTTCACATCACCAGCAAAACAACTAACTAAACGACGACAACCTTCATCCACCCAAGATTCAAGGCCAAACCATATGGCGAATCTATGTTGCCCTCCTTATGGGAAGCGGCCCTAACAGCAGGGAAGAAAGTCCCCTGCCGATAGTAGGTATATGAAACCGCAGTGTCGGCGGATTGCCTAACCTCTCTAAAGCTCTTCTTGACAAAATTCCCTGTTCCTTCAAAATCGCACTGCAATGAAGTAATTATTCCTGCACCCGGAGGAACCTCGACGTGTACCCCGAAGGTAACTGTAGTGCCTGTCTTGACTTCGACTTGTTTGCTACCGTTGACGCTTAGGTCCACAACAGGCTGGATTCCTTTCCTCTCCAATGCCGTAGCAGGTAATCGTACCTGGGAATTGCTTATGGTATAATTTGTTGAAGTGCTAGGATATGTCCCTGTCTCGCACCAAACACTCAAATCTCGCAGATGCTGCTCATACATGCCTGTAAAGTCCACAACTCTGGAGCTCTTGGAACCTACAACTGGACCCATTTGATGATCCGCATTCTCAGTGTAATGAAGACGAAACTTATTGTCGATACCATCCCCGTACACCTCTCTAACTTGGTTCTTGTACCAATCTGCATGCCATGGGAACGCGTCAACGTCCATCAGGTTATCCATGACGATCATCTTGCCGTTGAACTTGCCCGCAAACGTAGCGCCCCCACTAGCAGACCTCGCCATCTGCTCTGCAACAAGCACTGAGCGCTGAGGATAGATGGGAGTTCGCTTGGAATCACGGAGATAGTCATAGCCGTAGAAGCCTGAGCGTTTGGGAACCGAGTAACGATGGAGCGCGTGCATGGCGAGGAACATTTGGTTGCTTATGTGGACTTGAGTCCCTTCTTGTATAAGAGAGAGGATGGCGGGGTCATTATTCGGGTGAAGGGCGACAGTCTTGTCGTTACTGTTATCATGACCTTTTCCAGCGATCTTGCCAAGTGTTTTGCCATCACTAGAAAGAATGGTTATATCCAGCCAGTAAGTTCTCGCTGATTTGAGTGTCCTGTCGAGGTTGAGCTCAACAGGAACGTTGTTGGCATCGTACCTTATGCAAGTGATGAATGTCTCGTAGTCAAGCATCTCCTCGCAAAATATATCACCAAGCTCGGACTTTTCAGTGCCCAGATATCCTGGCTTTTTCCAGAAGTCCTCCACATAGGTAGAATCCATTCGCATCACAGCTGAACCGGACACACTTTTCATGGACTCCCAAAGTGACTCAGAGGCTCCAGTTACGTGAAATCTCTCCCATCCTTTGACAGGGACACCGAGGGCGGTGGCCTCTTCAAAGACCTTTCTTTCAGTGGGACTGAAGGTTGAGTAGACGTCCCCACTGCCACCAGGCCAAAGGCTTTCCTCGATCTCAGCACTCTTGTTTTGAAGAACCAGACCTGCGAGAGCACGAACAGACCAGTTGTTGATGGAAACTGGTACAGCTTGGACAAGCGTCACAGTACCAGACCATATACCAATCGTATTCTCCATTGCTCCAACAGTGACAAGAGATCCACCACTACCTCCGTAGATATATCCATGAATTTTGTTGGCCTTGGGCTTATAGTACTCACGGGCAACCACCATGCTGAACTTTGCCGTAGCAGCATCACCACGATAGGTTGGTAGACCAGATGCACGAACGGTATATCCTCCACTCTCTGCTCCAAAGCCTATCTCCCGATCGGACGCAGTTGAGTTCTGTAGTGGATAGACAAGTTGGAAGAAGCGTCCCTTCCAGCCATTCTTAGGGAGGTAGATGTTGAAGTCAACAACAGTTCCTTCGAAATGCCCTGACACTCGAAGATGAGGGATCGGCAATGCCTCATGAGTCTCGCTATCGATTACAGGTCGGGAGTAGAGAGGATCGATGCAGTCTTCGGTGATTTTCCATGCTCCATGGACTTGGATGCAAGGATTGCTGGTCAGCTTTGGCGTGACTTTCTCGGCGGTAGCTGAAGGACGCAAGATGCTCTGTGCCCTGCTAAAAATAGTCCTAACGCAGCTATTAGCAGTTTCCTTATGCTCGTTTCAGTCGCGGAAAACATACAAGGCTCTGAAAATGTTCAAAGAAACCATAATTGATAGAAAAGCTACGAAGGATAAATAAGATTCAGTAGTTTTATCTATTCATTTATCTGCTCCTCAGATGACTTTATACATGCCTGCTAAGGATAGCTCGGGCCTTCACGATCCGACAAACACACGGAATAAGCACCTCAGTCGGCACTAGCGTTGGTGTACTCGTCGTATTTGTCCGAATATTATGTGATTGGACGACATTCAAGAGCCAAGGAGCACGAAGACATCTGACCCCATGCTTATGCACCAGAGGAAATTAGCCTGGAGGCTACTAAGCCTTTAATGGATCGCCTCGGTCCTCTTATCACTTGGGCTATGCGTTCCAGGTTTTGTCTCCCTTTGCGTCAATAATTCTTATTACTGACTATGAAGAAACAATACAAATACAAAAATCAAGACACACAATCAATGTTCAAACACAGTCTTAATTCCAAGTAGATGGCCCAAACGTCTCATTGGTGCCTAGCTTCTTCCACGGAGTACCCAGACCGTCCGCCGTCGTGCCCTGGACGTTGTTTCCCCACCAGCTAAGACTAACGCCGGGAAAGACGAGGGCGAAGAAAATCACAATAGCAGAAATCGCAAGACCAGAGTCAAGTGCCGCGGATAGGACGTAATTGTACTATGTGATGTTAGCTATGCGGATCACTGACGCGAAGCTTTGTCGCCGAGACTCACCTTTGCCCACCAATGCGGATACTTTCCACGAATCCACTTGTTGAAGATAAACGAGACTGCAAACGCGGAACTGTAGTTGATACCAGTAGCGGGAGGTACATTGCCAGTGCCAGCGAAGAAGAGAGGCCAGTGAAGATTACGTAGCAATTTGCTGTTGGGATACTTCTTCTTGAGGAAGAATGTCACTACAGGGAGAAGTGCTCCAAGCCAGAACAGGTGCAACAGTCCAGAGTAGATCTTGCCCACGCTGTACAAACGGGCGGGGCCGACAGCTCCCCAAACGATACTGGAGGAGAAATTGACGCGACCTTGAGGACAAGTGTACTTGTTAGGCTGATCGCTCTCGCAGATGTCCTTGACGTGGTGCAACATCCACAGAACAACAGCGTTCTGAGTGAGCGATCCAACGATGCACGCCGTCAACTGTGCGACAAATAGGGTACGACGAGGAATCTTCATGTACAGCCCGAGCTTCATGTCTGAGGCAAAGATCATCGCTTGACTTAGTCCTGTGTATGCGTAGAACTTGAAGATCAACATGACGACTGGCTTTCCAGGAATGGCGTATCCAGAAATAATCTCACCAAGGACAGTGAGGACATTACTGTTGAGATTCGCGACAGCATAGACGCTTCCAGTGGGAATGAGGTAAAACGCTGCGAGACCAAAGGCTAAGAAGACACCCCAGACAGGCATCTGTGTGTCGTATACCTCTTGTACCATGATGGTGAGACCAAGCACGATTACAGTCAGTGCGGCGTACCACCACCATGGAGCATCGGGGTATCTCTCAATCAGCCGAGCATGAATATCCTTCTTTCTCTGTGGATTGAAGGCACCGACAATCTGCTTCCAGTAATTAAGGAAGATATACGTCGGAACGCAAGTCATTGTCGCAAAAGAGATACCGTAGCTAAGGGCGAAAGTGACCGGCATGAAGATGGGACTGTAATCCTTGTAGTCTTCTGGTGAGAAGTTTCCATGTCGATCAACGACACGCGAGGCGTTGAAGACATTGCCAGTGTTGTCATAGATGTCGCCGCCTGAGAAGGGCAAATAAGCGGTGTACCAAGTGTTTGTGTAGTACAGAATTGGTGTGACGAGGGCGAAGAGAATGACCCATCCGGCGAAAACGTTAGCTTGTGCCCAGAAGGGAACGACGAGGGGAGAGCCGTTGTATGCGATCTGAGACCAGTCAAACGTGGTGGGGAGATAGGCCAGGCCGGTTGACATGCCGAAAAGGTTGTTGACGACGATGTTGTCTAACAGAAGTCAGTACGACGAAGTAAGAGTGAGTTAAGCGGTCAATTTACTCGGTGCAGCCCAGCAAATGAAGGCAAAGGTGCTTAGTCCAGTGAAGATGAATCCAGGAAGCCAGTACTAAAAGGCCGTCAGCGGCGATACCAAAGAAAAGGAGACAATTGCCTACCCAGAGCCAACCACCAGCGAAGACATAAACAAAGAACCGATACCTCGAGATACTCCACCCATCAGCCTTCGGGTTAGCCCTCCCATGCAACGTCTGAAACAGCGCCGCGTTAGCCAGCGTCGAAGGCCAAACCATATGCGGCGGCTCAACGATAAACCTGTACGCCATACCCGCCATTCCAAGACCAAACAGCTGCATCGTAAGCGCGAGTAAGAATTGATACCCAACAGGAGTCTTCAGCCCCAAGAACGCAGGCGCAACTTGCGCTTGGATGATGTCCGTCGCCCAAGACGGCCCAAACGAAAGGTTCGACATGATGGTGATGAGCGCATGTTCCTTGATGTTAAAGTGATGATCGGGGTTGAGCGCAATTTCTCTCCCGAATACTGTGAATCTCATGATGGGAAGGGCGTGCGCAAGGGCTCTTCCGGCTGGATATGCGACTAATTGCGCGACGAGGGATGAGATGGTTACACTGGGATATCTCATCGAGAAGAACTGATTGATCCCAGTGCCGAGGACGGTGAACAGAAGACCTAAAGTCCACGCACGGAGCGTGTTGACGGGCATAGAGGGATCATCGACATTGGGGACATTTGCTCTGACTTCAGGCTGGGGCGAGTTGTCAGAGTCAATGTCGTAGTGTTCATCTATACCGCTGATGGCGAATGCAGTAGCTTTGTCGGGATTGTCGATGATTTCTTCTGATGTGCCTTCAATTGTGCCGTCTTCTTGTCTTGAAGGCCCAAGATTGTCGGCATACTCGACCTTGGGTGCCATGATGGCTCTCAATCACAGGGCAATGCCTTACAAATTGTATCAAAACAAGACAAAGGTGTGATCTTCTGGGGATGCATTGCTCTCTTGGCGCGAAAGTCTCGGCATTTTATAACTTTGTCTTATCGCGAGTAATGTCACATTCGATGCTACTCCCCTCCCCGGATTTCGGCAAACGTTAGTTTATCATGCCCCTCATGCAAGAAGAAGGTCCAAGCGATGTTGTCATTTGAGCTAGTTTTTAATTGGTCGCCGGATCATCAGGTCCTTAGCTTCGGAGTTATGGAGAATAATTGCTACCCCTCGGGGGGCAAGAAAATAGCAAACCTTACTGCAGGGTGTCAAAATAAACTTAGCAAAAGTCATCCTAAACTTAGGCTATATTACCTAAATTCTTTTGTCACTCAGGGTTGAGGTCCTGAGTTTTCTTTCCTCCCCTAGCTACCCTACCTTATCTTGACACTTTGACTAGTTCTTGATTAGAGGTTGCCACTTCGAAACGATAGAGTGAGGTTTGTTGCGGGGTAGTTGAGTGAAGGAAGGTCCAGCCTTGATTTGTCACGAGATATCGTATCAGCTCCGGTTACGGGCGTCGCATCACTAATAAAACCGCCAGCTTCAACGTCTGATTAGCATATTTTTGTTCTTGAACCTTATCTTTCATTCCTTTCCAGCTTAGTCTAAAGTCAACAATAAATCTCAACTATGGCTCATTCAGTGGCACCTCTGAACAAGGACTCGTCAATCCTCATCATCGGAGCGTAAGTCTTAGCCCCACCAATACACCGTCAAGGCTAATCTCTTAATTCTAGGGGCACATTCGGTATCAGTACAGCCTACCATCTAGCTAAGTGTGGCTATACCAACATCACTTGCATTGACCGCCACCCATGGCCCAGTCTAGACTCTGCTGGTCACGACTTGAACAAGGTGATGCGTACTGAGTACGACGAACCACTTTACACGCGCCTTGCTCTTGAAGCACTCGACGCTTGGAGAGATCCAGAATGGCATGAGGTGTTTTTTGAGACAGTACGTGGCTAATATTGATTACGGTCCTCGCGAGTTAGACTAACAAAGCAGGGACGTGTCACTACTACGATGGGTGACAAGAAAGCCGAGTCATTTCTTGAAAAGTCTTATGAGAACCTGAAGAGGGCGGGAAAGGCCCAAAATTTAGAGCTCATCAGTGGCAGAGACGAGATTGTCAAACGTGTTCCCCAATTGAAGAATGCCGTTGGGATCGAGACCTGGAAAGGTCTTTACAACAGTCTCGGAGGATGGGTCCACGCTCGAAAAGCCCTTGAGAAATGGGCATCTAAGTCTGAGAACATGGGAGTCAAGTTCACATCAGGCCTTAGTGGTACGATGACCAGCCTTGAGCTCGATTCTTCTGGCTCAATGACCGGGATCCGCGTTGCTTCTGGTGAGGTTCTTCGCGCGGATCACTACATCCTTAGCACGGGTGCTGCATCGCCACAATTACTGCCCGAGTTGTCGCAGCAGCTATGGTCAAAGTGCTGGACTTTGGGTCATATTCAGCTGACCGATGAAGAAGCTGCTGAGTGGAAGGGTGTTCCAGTGATTGATAACTATGAGCTTGGGTTCATGTTTGAGCCAGATCCAGATACAAGTGGGTTGCACTTCATATTACACCTGCCCGAAATACAACTGCTAATGAGAATCAGAACTGATCAAGATCTGCGACAATAACCCCGGGTATCAATACCGAAAAGGCACCTTCGTCGATGAGGACGGTAACACAACTAATTACTCAATCCCCCGCTACTCAAGCGACCATCCAGAAGACGGCATCCCCCACGAAGCCGAAGTCGCCATCAGAAACTTCATCAACACCGTCATGCCCCAATTCTCCGATCGGCCTCTCCTCGATGCTCGTGTATGCTGGTGTACCGATTCACCCGATGCACATTGGCTCATCGATCGCCACCCCAAGCATAAAGATCTTCTCCTCGCAACAGGCGATTCTGGGCACGCGTTCAAGATGTTTCCTATCATTGGGAAGTACATCGCCGATGCGTTGGAAGGTCGTGATACGGGATTGAGGAAAGAATGGGCTTATGGAGGACGAGTTGCGAAACCGACTTCGCAT